GCTCATCAGCTATACATATATGTATGTAAGAACTAATATGTACTTTTAATCAGTGATTCATTTATAATGAGTAACATGATAATTCGTCTAATAGGAGCCAATAAGATTCTAATCGATCGAACAGCATTTGTATATACTCGCGCATGCTTCTCTTCTGATTTTTCTGAAAAATAAGACTTGTTCCAATATCACTGTTATTTTTGGAAATTAGCACTATCACCTGTATTTTGTTATTTGTGTCACTAACATTTAAGCTCAAATTGCTCATATTTGTTATTCTTTTTGTTATGTAAAACACAAAAATCTCAATTATCATTATAAAAATTAATAGAATAAAATTTTTAGTATAAAAATGATTAAAAAATTTTTGTGTAACTATTTCATTTTAAATATTAAGCTGATAAAAAATGATTACTTATCACGTCCAATATGAAAGAATTTACAGAAAGACCAAACGCGATGATTTTGACATTTGCCATCATGTCAAAATTGACGCCACTCTTAATTATAAAGTCTATTACTACTAAAACATAGACGTGATAGTACGTGAATATTTCTACAATGTTTAACATTTTCATTTTCGAAAGTTAACTCAAGTATACTTGAACTCAATTAAATTTTTCAAATCTATAATCTTGAGAAATCTCGTGAGATTGAATCGAATATTTCTCCGTTTATGCGAAATTTATGTAAATTCTTAATGGGCTGTCCGTTTTCCGACACAGTGTCCGTTTTAATATATTTTTGATATTATGCTACCAAAATACATTCCATTATAAAATAGTCATAACTGTGAAGCAATTCGAAAAGACAAATAAAAGATTCCAATCGGTTCCATTCCACTTCCATTGAAGTCAGTTCCATTCCACTTTCGATAATAACTTATTGTTAATTATTTTGTTGATTTTATTTAAAATTTATTTATTTAATTTGTCAATCAGAGTTATGTTTTTTTTTTTTTTAATATATTAAATCGTTTAATCAGTAATTCACATATTTTCACATTATTTCAAAGCCCCACATATACATATAGTAATAGTACAAGAATTAGAGAAAGAGAAAATAGGGGAACATAACCAAATATTGGATTGGTATGATTTGTTAAGGTTTATCTCAATTCTATATAGATACAAAAGCATTTAGACTTGATTGATAGTTCATGATATATGGTAAGTATAATATGCGATATGTGAACAAATAATAAATGTTAATATATATGTACATTATAAGCGATTAGGAATTGAGTATATAATTAAGTTTTTATTGATTAATTTGATTTATTACGTGCGATTTTCTTTTTTCTTCTTCTTTTTTTTTATTTGATTGATTCGATTAATTTTTTTATTATCTAACAAATACCTTTATATTACCAATTGATTTATAAAAGTTGGAATATATAAGTGATAAAAATAGTATATCAAATTGTCTACAAATATATATTTTTTTTTATTCATTATAGATAATAGTGTTATGTTCTTTTTTTATGTAATAATTATTGATAGTGTTATTACTATCTGTTATATATAGAGACTATAGAAAAAAAATTATTATATGGATTTCAATTACCATAACAACAAAAATTTTATTTTCGGTTTTATGTGTATTTAGAAATATATTGTAATATAGTATATTTTGTAGATTGTCTCAAATATAGTAAAAAATTTTCTTAAGTTTTGTAAGTATGCTCCAAAGGGTTAAAAATTTTGCTGATTTGTAATTTGTAAACTATATATATGTATATATTTCAACTTTTAATGTTATTACAATATTCCGTCAATTATGTTGTAAAATATAATCATTTCTAATTACAAATATTCAAAGAGTATGAAATTATTTCAAATTTTTTTTAAATCTTTTATAATATTATTAATAAAATTAGATTAAACCAATGGCTTTGTCAAGTAGCACTTTTCTACTTAAATTGCTTTTAATAACTGTCTACTCCATTGTTAAAATTATACTTTTATTCATATATTAGAAAAACTTGGAGATTCAGAAATATAAGGGTATCGAAATCTTAAATTCTAAGAATTTCGAAAGGCTATTGCCTTGAGAAGTAATATGAAAAACGTTTGTCATTTCTTTACAATAAATATTCAAAAAATTGCATATTTGGTGACTTTGAAGGGTTGATAACTTTTAGAGGGTGGAAAAATAAAATTTCAGCTTTCTATATCAAATCTTTTTTTAATGCAGAAGCTTTGTAAACAAACAGACGGGCGGATAGACAGAGTGAACTCTATAAGCATTTCTTTTCAAATTTTTTCTTTAATTACTAGGTCTTATAGCATTTATTTTATTTTATTATTTTAATTATATTTAGAATACGCAAATTCGAAAGTATTTTAAAAATATTTTTTCAATTCACTGAATTTAAGCAGTTCAAGAATTCATTTATGTATATATATGAGTATGTAAGTAATAACCATCTACGTATCAATTTGATAAAAAAATTTTCTTTCCTTGTGTAAGTATTTTTAAAATTTTTGTTTTCCTGTAATTAATAAATTAATATTATATAAAAGAGAAATATACAAGATCACGTACACAATTTCATAAAAAAAAATATTAAAATTGTTAAAATAAAAATTCATTCATTTCACAAGTTCAATAACTGTTTCTTAATTAATTTAATTTAATGTTATAACATTTTATTATTCTGTTTTATTAAGTACACCTGTAAAATATTAATAAGAAGTAAAACAACAACAACTCCAACAAACAAATCTATAAAGAAGTAAATGAGATGTAAACATTAATGCCTTAAGGTGAACTAGAATGAAATATTCATTTTATATGTATGTATGTAAGTACATACATATATGTTATCCTCGTTAGTATATTTACATTTTTATTACTTAAAATTAACAATTTCTGACAGTAATTTCATTCTTTTAGCTCTTTAAAAATTACATATGTATATATAAAAATGGAAAAAAAAAATAGTAAAATGTAAATTGGAATATAAAATTTATAAAAAAATGTAATAAATTTTAACATAGTTGCAAAATCACAACTAAACATGAAAGAAATTGATTAAAAATCTTCTTTAACTTATAACAACATGCATTAAACATACAATTTAATTAATTATACAATATAGAATATATAATTTTGAAATTCAGGTTGAATCAGAAAACAAATATAATAATATTATGATCGAAATGTTATACTTACATACACATATACCTATATATAAAATATTACATATTTATTTAACTATTATATATATATAAATAACAACAAACAAAAATAAGTAAATAAAAGATCTTAAATAGAAAAATTTTTCTCTTATAATTTTCTTACAGGCAACAATAAAAATAGATGTAAAAAGAGAACAAGGGGGCTATACAATCTTTTACATTATTTGCTGTAATAATTACATATGTAAGTAAATTTATATATGAATATTACAATTTTATTGTGGAAATCAACAATTAGAAATTAGTGAACTGGTAAACAAAAAGAAAAATTTTGTTTTATTTATTAGAAATTATTAAAGTAGCAAAAATAACTCCTTAAAAGAAATAACAATCATCATTAAAAACAATTAAAGATATTAACAGTAAATATACTAAATAGGTAAATATAAATGTATTAGTACAGATTCAAGTAGTTTCTAACACTGTAAAAGTCAAAAATATTTGTATAATTTAAAAGAAAAAAATATAAAATTATAGTTGAAAATCCTAGCAGGATTTTAGAAAGACATGTGGTATATTTGTTCCAATGTCCTCGTTATTAGTTTGAAATATTGTTAATATGCGCTCATCTTCCGTTTTTGACATCACTGGGATAATGAAACATCTCGTGACATCAAAGCTCAATATTGGGTACGTTCAACAAACTTAAGTGTTTTGATGAATTGTAGCGATTAATTGATTATCATTGCAGAGCTCCACTGAACATTTTGCAGCACTATATTTTTGCTTTAAAAAAAAATATGACATTTTGTATGATTGACGGCTGTCATTTTCATATTTTTTTGAACAGAATGAAGAATGATGATGGTATGCAATAAAAAATACTTATGTTTTATAATAATATAAATTATAATTTAAATTAATTGTATTTGTAAAATGTTAAATATATTTTTAGTGTCTTATATATAAACAGTGTGATACATGACATCCAAATGTCAAAGTTTAACCACTTCATAATGAACTATAATTGGTTTCAAAATTTTTAAAAATTTAAGCGTTCAGCCGAAAATTACTTGAAGCGCTTTAATAATTTTTAAGCGTATAGGTTGGCTGAACGCACTCACTGACAGTGAGTATTTACAGTGAGCCTTTGGTATTTTTCAATGTTGCTACTTCTAATAACGAAAATTTTTAAAGTACTGTCACATGTTTTAAATCAATTACAGTTGCAGTTGTAGTTTAAAAGGATACTATCAAAACATTGCTGCATTTCCAGAAATACTTTTGTAACTGTTCGGTTAGTCACTTAATTGTGAAATTAATTCATTCTACCCATATCTATTTGTTGTGTTATATTTTTTCTTGTTTTTCTTATACAATAAGGATTGATTTATTGAAATTATATTTTATTATTCTTTAAATACAATCAGGCTTTAAAATTAAAGAAAATTCAATAAGAAATAAAACAAATTATTTTATAAATTTCATTTCAACTTTAAATTATACATTTATTTACATTTTTATTTAATTGTATGTGTTCTAATTGTATATGTATATATATATAATACATATATGTATGTAATTTTTATTCCAAAAAATAAATTTTTAATATTAAATAATAAAAAATTTTAATAATTTTAAAAAATATTTTTTTTTTATTAATTTTTCAATTTTTTTATATAATATACATATTTCTATCTATATACATGTACATATTTACTAATTTGTAATATTTTATAAGGTAGTTTACAAAATTTAAACTTTTTTTTTTTAATTTTTTTTATAATTTTCTCTATTTTAATATACATATAATTATATATATTTTTATATTTGATTAAAGCTCATTTTATTGTCCTATATGAAATTAATTACTACCTAACTATAATTTATTATTAATATGCATTGATTGAATAATATATACATACATAATAATATAACATACTATATATAACATGGTTTAGTTCTTGGCTAACAATTGAAAACCTCTTTACAAAATTTTACATATGTATGTATATCATACTTATAGATTGTCCATAACCACATTTATGTTTCATTCCCCTTCCTTCTTTTGTTTTTTTAAATTTAACGCAATATGTTGTGTAAATATGTAGGTATTAAAAAAAAAACACAAAATATTTTCACCACAAAATCCTCTATAAATTTTCTTCATAAATTCTTCAAAAACGACCTCCTATGTGTTTCCGTTCTGTTTCAATTTCTCTATATGTATATACTAGTGTATGATGCCCCATTAAGACCATTCAAATACTAGAGTAAGTAAAGTATGCGTATTTCCACCTGACTTTTGTTTTTTTTTTTTTGAAAATTTTTATATTCTCCTTTTTCTTCTTGTTCTTCTTTTTATTTTATTTTTTTTTGTATTTTCCTTCATTATTTTCTGCTTTGTACTGATTTATCAAACATTCAGTTTGTTTCCTGTTCATATAATTATACAAAATTATGTTTAAGAATTAAAATTAAATAATTACGGTTAAATAAATAAACAATTAATTAAAATATAAAAATGGTATGTATGTAGCCATTTTATTTACATAAAAATATAAATGCTTATTGATTGAACCTTATAATATCATATATGCGTATACTATATGTATATACATATTTGTATATATTGGAAAGTGCTTAATTTAAAATTTATAAATAAACAGACACGCGAAATTCTTACATAGATTTTTTTTTGTAATCTACTCTATTTGAATGAGTGAATGGTGATCTTAGTTTGTATACAATATAATTAGGTATGTAGGTGTGTATTTTTTGCTTTTTTATAGAAAATGTGTTAGAATATTGTACTACAAATAGTATTTAGGTGTGTGCATGTATTATGGAATTTATTTATAAAAATTTATAATCTAATCAAGAGATTTTTAAAATTTTCTTAAATTAAAATTTGTTTTAGGGAAAGCAATGAATAAATTAAATAAATGTATAAATTTGAATTTTAGGTATATTCTAAAAAAAAGTATTGCCAACGTGCAACAATTATCACGTCATTTAGTCAAAACTCTTCAAGTCTAATACGTCATTCAAGTCTAATACGTCATACGTGCAACAATTATTACGTCATTTAGTTAAAACTCTTCAAGTCTAATACGTCATTTAATTAAAACTCTTAAAAGTCACTATTATGTACTTAAGAGAATTTTGTGTGTTTGATATTTATTCCTGATTTTGCTCTTAGTTGTCATTTTTATATATAACAGTTGACTTTTTTCCAAAATAATTTTGAAAAGAAGTGCTTATTTTATATACATAGTTAAAAATTAAATATTGCCTTTATAACAAAAATATTTTCTTGAATTAGTACTATGGAATTTTAGCAATTTTTTGATTTTGTCCAGAAAATTTATGTCGTTTTCAAATAATGTCGATAACTTAAAAATACCGAATTTTTAAATAATAAAATTATTTTACAATTATTGTAGTAAGTTTTAAGCTATGTGATTTATACTCTATCTCTTTGACTGACTTAATCTTAAATGTCGTTCTTTGTTGTTGAAATATCGTCAATTTAAATAATACAACCTTTTAAGGTGTTGACACGTTTATACTTCAATTCACACATTCTCTTCTATATAAACTCTTGCTTTCTATCTATCTCTCAGCTAGTAAGTAAAAGGGCGCGAAATGACGTTTAACATTGTCAAAATGTTGAACAGTTTATAAATGTTTTGAATGTAAGAATGTAACGTCCTATATGTTTCGATTTCTCTTTATATAGTTGATGACGCCCCATTAAAACCATTCAAATACTAGAGTAATGAATTGTGTGACCAGAACAATATAATTGCTTCAAGTTGATTTTACAACTTAATATTTGGAATGATATAAAAACAAAACTTATTTAACAAAATATTTTCAATGAACAAGAGAGAGGAATACCCTCGAATTCAATAAATTTTTAAATTCTAATATAATATCTTGAAAATTTATTCTTATCATTTATCAAAGCACTTCATTTAATCCAATTTAGGAGCCTTGAAGAGCCCTCTTAAGATTTGTTTTTTTTTGTGATTGATTTTTATATAAATAAAAAAAACTAATAAATAATTTTTTATTATCAACGATTTTTTTTTTATTTGCTATCGATTTTCAAAGTCTATATAACAGTGCGCAATTTTTTTAACCATTGGGTTCAAAAATTAATTTTTTTTTTTTGGAGACTAGATATGTTTATTTTGAAATTTACTTAAAATTTGATTTTGACATTTTTTATATGAATTTTGTTTTCTAGGTGAATATTTCTCACATAATTATTTGATCTTATCATATGATTTCGGAATTTTATTGAAATTATTTAATTATTACGAATCTTCTGGCAAATTTTATTTTGGAAAAAAAAAACTGAATTTGCTTTAGTAATGTCAAAGTTGAAATATAATTGTTGACATTTGGGTCATTTTCCAAAATGTCAGAGAAAGATAAACAATAATTATATTTGATTAAGTTTTGAATGTCAATTAATTTACAAAGTATATTTGAATAATATTTGATATTATGAACAAACGGAATATTATATACAAATATGAAATTTATAGAAATTCAGGAGACTATTAATGGAATAAACAATAAACTGTTAAATTTACAATTTGTTATTTAAGTATTATATAACAATATATATGTGTACATAGAAAGCAAACGTCAATATATACATATATGTATACAAAGTATGCATATTTCAAAATTTTAATAATAAAGACATAATATTTTAACCAATAAAGTGATAATTGAAAGTACAAAATCACAACAAATTTAAAAAGCAATTATACTAATTATATTTTGATATATTTGCGTAGGTATACTTATTTCATTAAAGCGTATACAGAAAGCCATTAAGATGATAATTTCAAACGAAAAGGAATAAGATTTGCATATATCTTTCTTTATATATATAAATAAGTCTACTATACGAATTATCATATAGGTAAGCTTTTAATGATATTTTCTAAGAAATTGTCAAAAAATTAGGTATTGTTTAAAATACCATCATCCACCTATATTTAATCATAATTGTCAGTTATATTTATTATGTATAATATGTAATACATGAAGAAAAGTGAAATACGAACACTTTTATTTCCAATAATTTCTGTTTTTTCCTCTAAATTAAGCATTGCAATAAATAAATTGTAAAAATTCGGTCAGTAAAATCAAAACTGAGTAAATAAATTAAATTAAAATCTAAGTTAAGAAAAATTGCTTTCATGCCATTTAATAATAATTTTTTGACAATAATTACTTCAATATTGAGTACAATTGATTGTTGTATGTCATACATTTGAAATTATACTCATTATTTGAATAAAATTTTGTTATGTACATATTAGAAAGTGGAAACAGTTTAAAATATTGCAGAATTGGTAAAAATTTCAATTGACTCCAAATTGGTAGGAAAGAGTCTTTGTAAAAAAAATATTATTTTAACATGGTACGATCTGTTCTAAAGTATTGAATTTCACACAAATTATTAAAAAATCGTTTTCGAATAATGGAAATTTAAAAATGAATATAACAATTGCAAAAACAATTATGTCAGTTTTAAGGGGTTTGAATACATCTTTTGCTTGTATTCATATTTATCGTAAAATTATTGATTTTTACAGTGTGTTTACATTTACATTTACTTTTGGTTATATTTATTATTAGGGCCTTAAATTTAAAAAATTTAGAGTTAAAAAAAATGGTAGTTTCTTTATTATAAAAAATTAATTAGTTTGATGAAAAGAAAATATTAAAATTATGAATTAAATTAGCTTCTGATTGATTTGAGTTAATTGTACTAGAGCTCTATTTGAATTGTATGTTACTTTTTTTCATATTATACAATATCATTTTAAAATATGTAGTACTCTACATTAAAATTAAATTGTTATATTTCTTATCATTATAGTATTTTTATATGAGATTGCAATAAGACGGCAACACTTGTTTTATCTCAAAAATAACTAAATAATAATATTCAATTAATGATTGTAATCAAATGCATTTGAATTTTGTGTATGTACATCAAAATATTAAGTCCTATTATAATTAATTCTAGTATCTGGAAGAATGTGTTGTACGGGAAATAAAGAGGATTCTAAGCGGAAAGACTTCTTTGATGATCCTTATTGTCCTTCAAAGACATTTTAGTTAAAAATTGTAAATCAAAAGTTTTTTGTCTCATAGACGATGAATCCATAAAGCTCATTATCTGAAATCACCTCTATGCTACAAAAGTGAAAATCGATCATGTACATCCTGTTTATTATTTGTTATTAGTTAATTCTATGTCAATTATGTAAATTAATTAATAACAAAATAATTTTACTATCAATTTGAAATCTATCTTTGTATTGAATGTTACACTTAGTAATGATTCATTTATGTTCCCAAGAACTTCATTTATAAATTAAACAAATTTAAATTTGATGACATTGTGATAATTACAATTTCCATACCATGAACTTTCAAATAATTCAACTTGTAAATTAATTGAAATCTTTCAAAAATTATGCATATAATACACAGAATAACAAAAATATTATAAAGTATTTTGTAATTGTCTTTAAATTTGTATAATAATTATTTAGTAGAAAAAAGAAGAAAAAAAAAAGAAGTAAATAAAGCAATTGATTGAACTCTGGAATCAATTAAGCTCCATTGTATACTTACATTATATTAATTAACATAGTATCTGGAGCTCTAATATTCCAAATGACCTTTCGACTCATTAAAATGAAACAAAAAAAAAAGAAACAGAAAAATAAGAAAATAATTAACCCTTTTTGTTTAATTTTCCATACAATTTGTACATGTATACATACACTTTACATACTTATATTAATTTTAATTTGTTTCGAAACTTGACAGATAGCTATTCGTATCTTAAGAAATAAACTGAATCTAAGAATATTAAAATTTGCTTTAAAAATCTAAGAAATTGTTAATAACTGTGCATAAATTCCAAGAACTAAATCAGTAAAGTTTTTCAATTTACTAAAAACAAAGAATACTTATAAAAAAAAAATAAAAAATCAGAAAAATAAATTCTAGCGTGCTAATAATAATTAATTCCGAGACAACTTTATTTTGATTGAAATTGAAAAAAAAAAACCAAACAGAAAATTCATTGCTCAATTAAATTGTCATTGTCAAATTTTTAAAGTAAGTCAAAAATTTTCGTATTACAAATTTTGCATTTTATTAATTAATTAGCGTACAATATGTTATATATACAAGCATGTACAATTTTATAATAATTTTAATAATTTTTTTGATATGACTTTTACATTCCACTCATTTTACATATTGTGTGAATGTCATTGACTAAGAGAATGGTTTTGCTCAAAATAAATAATATGTCATTTATTAGCACATCATCGTGTCATATTAAGCAGTTTTATTAATCCTACTTCACTTTAATTTTAAAATGT